AAGTCTTCCTGGATTCCCCCTCACACACATCAGTCGCTTCCCCAGCTGGGTTCAGTGCTTCCTCTGGCCCCTGCCATCATTGATTTGCGGTCCTTACTAGCTTGAGAGTGTCCTGAGGGTAAGGACCGCACTTCCTAGACATCTCTACATCCTAGTACCTGGCATGTGACTTGGGCTTTTATCTCCACTACCGCTGCAAGGCAACCAGCCTCACCTGCATGCACTTTGGCAAGGGCCTACTCCTTCAAAGGAGCCACTCAGAGAGGGAGACACAAGGGGCAGAGGGAACCCAGGCTGGGGGTCCAGGGACCCCGGCTGGATCTGGCCCCACGCTGCACTGGCTGTGTGGCACGCACCTTCCCGGGCAGCCTCTACTCACCTGGTTCTACATTTAAGCCTCGTAGCAGACAGATCAATTAAGCTTCCAGCATTCAGCAGACAGGTCCCTTTCTAGCGCACCTGTCACGTCCCTGAGAACATTTTATTCTGTACACAGTGCTATTCACACGCCTGGGAAATTCCCCTAATTTTCTGCTCAAAAGCAAAAACGGTAAACACCAAGGCAACAAACGGCAGCTGCCACACAAGGCCTTATTTTTTAAATCAGTTTTTCGGCGGCGGGCGAGGAGAAGCGTCCCGTCCTGTATGTGGCCTCTGCAATTTCATTTCTGAGTCAGCAGTTAGCACCTTTTGCTGCGTATCTTTGCCGATGCCGCAGATTTCCGAGCCAAGCCCAGCCAAGCACGCGTTTGGAAATGAAGCCTTCAACATTCGTGGGATTGAACCAAGACTTTTGGAAGCACAAAGATGTACTTATTGACGTGGCCTCTGGGGTCTAACCGGCACTCACCGCAGAACTTCGGGGGGGACGATCAGCTGATCGCATTTCAGGTGTTCACGGAGCTCACGCAGGTTGTTGAAATAGGTGACTTTTTTCCCAAACTTGTGACTAAGAAAGCAGAAGCAAGAGAATAAAAAACGGTTAGGCGCCAGCAGAGAGGCCGGGGGCTGCAGGGACGGAGCAGAAGCTGGCAGCAGAACAACGCAGGCATTTTTCATATTAGGAAAATGTAAACGCTGACACCGCTTAAAACCCGAACACAAGAGGAGCAGCGCACGCCGGGAGATATTTTGCTTTCATGAGATCGCCAATGCACCAAACACTCTGGAGAGGCTCATCTGCATAAAAATAAATATCTGCCTCCAATTTAAATCTGCCCTGAATTTGCATAGACATAGGAGATAGCGTGGAAGTGCCAAGAAGCCCTTTTGGGGGATTCAGGCTGGGCGGGGGCAGGCCGCCATTGGCACAGAGAGAAGCTCTGAGAGTGGAGCCTGCCCCAGGGTACCCCAGCTGCTGGTGGTTTTGGGGTCAGTGGTGACCTCACATTTGGCCACCTCTTCTAAGGACAGAGACCAACAAGGGTCTCCAGGATAAAGTCTCTGAGACCCCAGAGAACAGCGCAGCTGCAAGGCCAGACACGCCCTGGCCAGGTGCAGCCACTCCGTCGTCTCCCACCCCTTGTGCCCCAGGAGAATTCACTCCTTCTCAGGGCCTGGATCTGAAAGCAGGGTTTCTCCCACAAAACGGAGGACGGAAGGCAACGCAAGGCTATGTGCACGTCTAGTCCACCGCCTGACGCCTGGTGGACATGCTCGCTGTGATGATTCCTATCAGCAACAAGGCTCAGCATGAATTGCAAAGTGGGGACCACGGACAGGACATGAGCATGGTTTTATACAGGAGCCTGCAATCCTCACAGTATGACAGTCTAGGTGTGGCTTTTGCCATAAATATATCATTCAAGTTTTAGTTTGTAGGACAGTATTATTTCCTTATTGTATATCTTTAAGATACAACTTTTTTTTCCCCCTGAGATGAAGTCTCACTCTGTCACCCAGGCTGGAGTACAGTGGCACGATCTCGGCTCACTGCAACCTCTGCCTCCCAGGTTTAAGTGATTCTCCTGCCTCAGGCTCCCAAATAGCTGGGATTATAGGCACACGCCACCACGCCCGGCTAAGTTTTGAATTTCTGGTAGAGACGAGGTTTTGCCATGTTGGCCAGGCTGGTCTTGAACTCCTGACCTTGTGATCCGCTGCCGCACCCGGCCAAGATATACAACTATTAATGTGGGTAAAGAATTGCATCGTTACTGGAAAAGGGAAGTTATGTATTCTGCCAAACTGAAGATATCTTACGTTCTTTTTATGACAATTTGAAAGCCTGAAAGCCTTGAAATAAGTATTCACGTATTTTCAATGTTTAGTTTGTGAAATAAAAATAACTCAAGTTAACACTGCGAAAACAAAAAATACAGAGATCATGGGCTGGACATGGTGGTTCACGCCTGTAATCCCAGCACTTTGGGAGGCTAAGGCGGAAGGATCACAAGGTCAGGAGTTCAAGACCAGCCTGACCAACACGGTGAAACTCCATCTCTACTAAAAATACACAAATTAGCTGGGCGTGGTGATGCACACCTGTAATCCCAGCTACTCAGGAGGCTGAGGCAGGAGAATCGCTTGAACCTGAGAGGTGGAGGTTGCAGTGAGCCAAGATCACGCCACTACACTCCAGCCTGGGAAACAGAATGACTCCGTCTCAAAAAACAAAAAAACAAAAAAAACAAAAACAAACCCGGAGATCATGGCAGGTAGGAGGGACAGCCGCAGCCCAAAGCTCAGCCCAGCGCCAACGTCAGCTGGTTCCTAAAGGGGACCCAAGGGAGGCTGAGCTGTGCGCACTGGCTCCCCCTAGTGGACGAGGGAGAATAGAACCCAGATGCCAGGACCCCCCAGTCACCTGTGGGGCACTGCGGGACTTTTGCCAGGTTTCTGCATTTAAGGACGCTGGCAGATAGGAAGCCAAGGAACCCAGGCTAAAGGCTGGGGCTGCAAAATAGCCACCAAAGTGCGGTGTGCCCTTCACCCCAAGGACGAGGAGAGGGAGGAAAGTGGGGCCTGCCTTACTCCCTGTACCCCAGCCCCTGCGGGAATGTCCTCACCGCCTGCCCACTTAGACTCCGCAGGACTGGGGAACAGTCTGTCCTCTGCCGGAAGGTTCCCGAAGGGTCTCCCCAGGGCTGTGAAGTGCTGTCAACGTCCTGCGTGATAGATGGGAGGAACCCACTAGGGGCAAAGGGAGTCTTACCCCTCTGCAGGAACCGTTCGGGGGACATTCAGGGGGACAGAGGTGCCAGCTTCAGCGCTGCAGGGAGGCCTCCGGTGCCCAGCCCTCACTTTCCTCTTTGCGGCCTCCCCGACCTCTCCTGCAGGCCAGGCTCTGCCAGACGTGGAATCTGAGGGCAGGCGCAGACAGGACCCTGCCACTTGCCTCTCGCTCCGGGAAAGGGTCCCCAGGCCAGCCCAGCCAGGTGCTCCCAACACGGCGTGCATGCGGTGGACTCACTGGGGTTCCTGTTAGAGCTGCAGCCGCAGGCACCACCTGCGGGGGTCTGGGTCAGGAGGGCTGGGTGAGGCCCAGGGCCCTCCTGTGTGGGGGCGTTTGAGAGCCTCAGAGCTCCTCCAAATGAGGTCTTGGGGCACAGAGAGGTTACGTGGCTGCCCCAGACCTCACAGGCAGCAGGCAGCGGGGTCCAGTCCCGGCTCCGGAGCCCCAGCCCGGTTCCTGTGGTCCCCTCCCAGCAGGAACGAGGCAGAATGAGGGGTAGAATCACACAGGCTCGGGCTGGAGGATCCCAGCCACGCCCCCTCCTCGTGCGACCTCAGGTGTAGCCTCTCTGAGCATCAACCTCCTCTTCTTTGAAATGGGGAAAATGTGGCTGACTTCACAGCGCAGTTTTTCGGTGTCTGGCACATGAGCATACGTAAGGTGCGTACAATATTGGAATCAGATGAATCACAAAAGGGGAGTTTAAAAAGATTTTTTTTTTTTTTTTTTTGAGGCAGAATTTTGCTCTTGTCACCAGGCCGGAATGCAATGGCGCCATCTCAGCTCACTGCAACGTCTGCCTCCCAGGTTCAAGTGATTCTGCTGCCTCAGCCTCCCAAGTAGCTGGGATTACAGATGCACACCACCACGCCCAGCTAATTTTTTGTATTTTTAGTAGAGACGGGATTTTGCCAGGCTGGCCTTCAACTCCTGACCTCAGGTGATCCGCCCACCTCAGCCTCCCAAAGTGCTGGGGTTTCAGGCATGGGCCACTGTGCCTGACCAGTTTAAAAAGATTTTAAAACAGGGCCCGGCATGGTGGCTCACGCCTGTAATCCCAGCACTTTGGGAGGCTGAGGCTGGAGGATTGCTTGAGCTTAGGAATTCAAGACGAGCTTGGGCAACATAGCAAAACCCTGTCTCTGCTAAAAATACAAAATTTAGCTGGGCACAGTGGCGTGCCTGTGGTCCCAGCTGCTCAGAAGCCTGAGGTGGGAGGATCCCCTGAGCCCAAGAAGTTGAGGCTGCAGTGAGCTGTGATCGCACCACTGCACTCCAGCCTGGGCAACAGACTGAGACCCTGTTCTCAAAGCAATGAAACAAAACAAAAAACAACAAACACAAAAACAGTACTACTGGCGGCTAACATCGAGTATCTGCTAGTGCCTGGCAGGTCCTATTCTAAACAGTGAACGTGGAGCTGATACGGTGGCTCAGTCCTGCAATCCCAACACTAGGAGGCTGAGAAAGGAGGATCACTTGAGGCCAGGAGTTCCAGACCAGCCTGGGCAACACACGGAGACCCTGTCTCAACAAATAATTGTTTTAAATTAGCTGGGCACAGTGGTGTACACCTGTAATCCCGGCTATGTGAGAGGCAGAAGTGGGAGGATCACTGAGCCCAGGAGGTTGAGGCTGCAGTGAGCCACGATCTCACCACTGCACTCCAGCCTGGGTGATGGCGCAAGAACGTGTGAAGAAAAGAAAGGAAAGGAAGAAAGGAAGACAAACAAACACTTTACGGGTATCAAGTCAGTGAATTATTGTAACAACGGAATGACTTAAGCAGCCTTGTCAGCCACATGGGGAAACTGAGGCAGTGAGGGGTTGCCTTTCTTGCTGAGAGTAATGGATGGTGAGGGGCAGAGAAGTCGAGCCCAGGCAGCCTGGCGCCATCACCAGCCCACCGTCCAGCTGCCACGTGGAAACAGGAGGAGCAGGCGAACTTTTTTTTGAGACAGAGTCTTGCTCTTGTTGCCCAGGCTGGAGTGCAGTGGTGCATTCTTGTCTTGCTGCAACCTCTGCCTCCCGGATTCAAGCGATTCTCCTGCCTCAGCCTCCCAAGTTGGGATTACAGGCGCCTGACACCACGCCTGGCTAATTTTCTTATTTTTAGTAGAGATGAGATTTCACCATCTTGGTCAGGCTGGTCTCGAACTCCTGACCTCAAGTGATCCCCTCATCTCGGCCTCCCAAAGTGCTGGGATTACAGGCATGAGCCACTGCACGTGGCCAAGCAGGTGAACTTTTTTCCCAAGAACTTGAGAGGTTTCTAGAACTCTAAGAACAACAAAATCTCACTCTGTCACCTAGGCTGGAGTGCAGTGGCGCCATCTCAGCTCACCGCAATCTCTCAATCCTCCCATCTCAGCCTCCTGAGTAGCTGGGACTAAAGTGTACGCCACCACGCCTGGCTGATTTTTGTATGTTTTGTAGAGATGGGGTTCTGCCCTGTTACCCAGGCACGTCTTGAACTCCTGGGCTCCAGTGATCCACCTGCCTCGGCCTCCCAAAGTGTTGGGAAGACAGGAGTAAGCCACTATGCCTGGCCCTCTAAGGACTTTTCTAAGGGAAGTGACTGGACTCGCTTTTTTGCTGTGTCAAATATGTCACATGTCACATAGGGCGCCAGGATGCTGGGCCTGGTTAAACACAAGCAAGGCCGGGCGTGGAGCCTCAGGCCTGTAATCCTAGTACTTTGGGAGGCCGAGGCAGGTGGTCAGGATCACAAGGTCAGAGTTCGAGACCAGCCTGTCCAATATGATGAAACCCCATTTCTACTAAAAAGTAACAGAAATTAGCTGGGCGTGATGGCACATGCCTGTATCCCAGCTACTCAGGAGGCTGAGGCAGGAGAATCGCTTGAACCCCGGAGGGGGAGGCTGCAGTGAGCCGAGATCGTGCCATTGCACTCCAGCCTGGGCAACAGAGTGAGATTCTAAAACAAACACAAACAAAATCTCACCCACCGATAGGGGAACAGGTGCCGCATGGGCAGTAGATGAGAAAAACTGGCAGGAAATTCTAGTGACATGAAAGGAGCTCTTTGAGCACAAAACTCTCCCTCTACAGGTATTGATCGACTTACGACCGATGCAACTTACGACCATTCGACTTTACGACCACAATCGCTAGCCACGACTGCTCCGCGTCTGGCAGCACAAACATTGCCCAGCTGGGCGTACGACAATGCAGACCAGCTTCCGGCAGCACTACCATCTCCGCGTGTGTATAGCCTACTCAACTTACGACCAAATTGTGTTACGACCGGTCTGCCGGTCCCAATCGCTGAGTCAAGCACTAGCTGTATAACCAGGAGCTGACTCGGTCTGCTGCTCTGGGAGCTCTCCCAGTGTGTCTCAGGGCCACGCCGTTCAGTCCCTGGGATGACAGTGTGGGCAGCTGGTAAGAAAAGGAAAGCTCCAAGCTGCCTGGCAGGGCAGTTTTCTCTTTTTGTTTTGAGACAGGGTCTTGCTTTGCTGCCCAGGCTGAAATGCAATGGCACAAACACGGTTCACTGCAGCTGGAACTCCTGGGCCCAAGCAATCCTCCTGCTTCAGCCTCCCATGTAGCTGGAGCCACAGGCACATGCTACCGCATCTGGCTAATTTTTAATTTTTTTTTTTTTTTTTTTTTTTTTTTTTTTTTTTTTTTGAGACTTAGTTTCACACTGTGGCCTAGGCTGGAGTGCAATGGCGTGACCTCAGCTTACCGCAACCTCCGCTTCCCAGGTTCAAGGGATTCTCCTGCCTCAGCCTCCTGAGTAGCTGGGATTATAGGCGTGCACCACCATGGCCAGCTAATTTTTATATTTTTAGTAGAGATGGGGTTTCACCATGTTGGCCAGGCTGGTCTCGAACTCCTGCCCTTGTGATCCATCCACCAAATGCTTCTTCCTAGGGAGGCCCTCCAGGAGTCCTCCCACCCCTCTCACAGAGGCAACGACCTCACCTGAGTATCCTGACCCACCTCGTGCACACCTGGGCCTCCCCGCACTGAGCCCCTCCTTCGCCTGCAGAACTCACCCAGGCGGGGCCGGGGTCAGGGCCAGTATGCAGGAACCATGTTTGTCAGTCTCTTCCCCATCCCACCCCCATCATGGGGCTCCATGCACACAGTTCGTGCCTGATGTATACAGCCAAAATGGAAGAAAGTAGAAGATGCCCACGTGACCCAGGCAGAGCCTCCCAGGCCTCACCAGCCCCTTGAGCACTTGCTTCCCAATACTGAGGCAGAAATCATTCCGCGGGAATGAGTCTAAATATGGGAGAAGCTGACTGACGTCGCCACATGCACAGGCTCGGCTGCCTCTCTTTCGGCTGCTCATTGGGGCTGCTGTGCACTACAGGCTTAACTCAGCAGGCTTGGGGTGTCCAAGCCCTGCATGCTCCAAAGAGAAGCCTGGCCGTGGGCGACCTGCTCCTGGGTGGAAAGCTCTCAGCCCCTGGAAGTGTCTGCCTGGTGAGGTCTTTACACACCCGTGGCCTTGGGCCAAAACCACAGAGCTTGCACCAACAATGCGATTAGGGGTGGGGGCCTTGGGCTGTGTTCTCATCTCAGGAGGGGCTGAAGACCGAGTGACTGAGGTCAGCCAGGTGGGTGCCCCGTGCCTACATGACGGACACATAACAAACACCCTGGGCACCAAGGCTGGGTGAGCTGCCCGGGCCAACCAGGCTCCCTCCTCCATTACACACTCTTGCTGGGAGAATCGAGTGTTGTCTGTATGAATCTGCATGAATCCACCCAGAGAGGGCAGCTGGGAGCTTGTGCTTGGTCCTCCTGAACTCAGCCCGTGCGCCTCTCACCTTTGCAGACTTCAATCTGTGCCCTGTGACAGACCACAAGAGTGAAGATAACAGAGTCCTCCAGAACATCACTGAACCTGACCAGGCGCGGGGGCTCACGCCTGTAATCCCAGCACTTTGGGAGGCTGAAGCAGGCGGATCATGAAGTGAGGAGTTCGAGACCAGCCTAGCCAAGATGGTGAAACCCTGTTTCTACAAAAAAAAATTAGCCAGGCGTAGTGGCGGGTGCCTGTAATCCCAGCTACTTGGGAGGCTGAGGCAGGAGAATCACTTCGACCTGGGAGGCGGAGGTCGCAGTGAGCCGAGATCTAGCCATTGCACTCCAGCCTGGGCAACAAGAGTCTGCCTCAAAAAAAGAAAAAAAAGGAAAAACGGAACTCACTGAACCTCAGGGTGGTTCCACAGTGTGGGGGCTCAGGCCAAGGGGGGATTTTAAACAGCAGGCGCAAACCCCACAGGTGTCACAGGCCAGAACTCCTGTCCATGACCTGGGCCAGCCTTGTGACTCACCGCAGACCCCCAGGCACCCTGGAGACGGGCCCTCTGTGGTGCATGGGTAGGGAAGGCCACCTTATGGACACTGAGGCGGGAAACCTCCAACCCCAGCAGGGTCCTCTCCCAGAGCAACGCGTACCTGATGAGGGGCTTGAAGAGGTTCCACAGGACCTTGATGAAGCTGGTGGGGTGCACCACGTAGAGGGCCTTCAAGTTCTTCTTGTATCTGAGGAGGGAAATGGGGGATGACTTCAGGCTGCCAGGCTCCGAGAGACACCCCAAGCCCCATAACCCCAAAGCAGCGGCCTCCACTGTGGGTCTCAGCATGTTACTTCTCTCAACAGGATCGACTTAGGGACATCCAACAGAGGAGGAAATAAACTCGAGGGAAATCAGGACCCCTTCCCCCATCAGGCATGCCTGCAGCGCTTCACAGTTTGCAGAGGCACGCGTGCAGGTCGGAGCCCTGTTTATAGGTGGGGTGGGGGTCCGGAGCCCAACCTAGGGGCAATTTGGCAACAGCTCTCAGAATTAAAACAGCAGAGCCTCTCAGCCCATGCCTCCCCTGCCAGAAGCTGACCCGGGCTAGAAGGAGCTCACCATGTTGGTTATGATGGCAAAAAACCCGGCAATAACCTAAACATCTGCCGGCCAGAGGTTGGTTCAATGAAATACAGCGTCACACACAGCGGAAGGCCAGGTTAGCTTCCCTCCCTCCTTCCTCCCCAGTCTCCACGCTTCCTTCTTGAATCTTTCAGTCCAAAGCCATCAGGTTGGGCAAGAAAGGTGGGCAGCGGGTGGGGTGGGGACACGGGCAGCTGACATGCCAGGGCTCCAGAGGGCGAGTGGGAGATGCTGTGCCCTGCTGGGGAGACACAGCCCAGGAGGGGGAAGGGGCATCCACAGGCCTGTGTGGGGTCAGCCGCAGGCCGCCAAAGCCAGTTCTTACCCACACACACGGGCTGATTGTCAAAATGTCAGGAATTTTTGGAAGCCAGGTGTGGAAAATAGCCGTTGGTAAATATGAAGTACTGTAAACTTACAATGAAATCAATGATATTAAACACAAAGTTAATGAAAATTCAAAACTACCATTTCCTAATTCTTCTGCTACCTGTATGACTCTGTACGCTCTGAGGTTCTCTTCTGCACCTGCACGGTAGACATCTGTACGGCCGGGGCGACCACACATCCCTTCTCAGCTCTGTGTTCAGGGACATCACGTTGGTGGCTTGAAGCCGGCTAGGATGGCAGGATTTACACCACGGAAACGTGAAGATGATCCTGGCCACCCTGCCAGGGGCGAGCCCTGTGGTGTGGGTACTGGTGTGAATGCATGACTCCCAATTGTGCAGGCAGATATACACATAAATCCTGATGGTGACATATGTATGTGTGTGTTTGTGTATGTAGGTGTATGTAGATGTGTGTATGCATATGTGGGTGTAAGTGTACATGTGTGTAGGGGTGTGTGTGTATATACAGGTGTATGACAGTGTGTGTAGGTGTATGTGTGTATGTAGGTGTAAGTATATGTAGGTGTGTGTATGTGTGTAGGTGTATGTGTGTGGTGTATGTAGGTGTGTATGTGTTCATAGGTGTACAGGTGTATGTGTGTGGTGTATGTAGGTATGTATGTGTTCACAGGTGTGTAGGTGTATGTAAGTATGTGTAGGTGTATGTAGGTATGTGTTCATAGGTGTACAGGTGTATGTAAGTATGTGTAGGTGTATGTAGGTATGTGTTCATAGGTGTACAGGTGTATGTAAGTATGTGTAGGTGTATGTAGGTATGTATGTGTTCATAGGTGTGTAAGTGTAAGTATGTGTAGATGTATGTAAGCGCCATGTGTATGCATGTGTATGTGCATGTAAGTGCATGTAAGTGTGTTTGTATGTATTTGTGTGTATGTAGGTGTATGTAAGTGGTATGTGTATGCATGTGTATGTGTGTGCAGGTGTATGTGTATGTAGGGGTATGTAAGTGTATGTATATGTAGGGGTGTGTGTGTTGGTGTATGTAAGTGTACATATATGAAAGGGGGTGTGTGTAAGTGTATGTACGTGTGTGTTGGTGTATGTAAGTGTATGTATGTGTATGTATACACACACATACCCTAACTCTCCACTGAAAGGGGCTGGGAGCCATAACACCCCAAAAGCAACAAGCACTCCTCTCGTCCAGATCTTGGCCTCTAAATAGCATTCTCCACTACAGGGAACCAGGGCTACTGTGCTCCCTGGAGAGTGGCAGATTCCTCGGCGGGAGCAAGAAAAAGCACACCCTGTGCCAGAAAGTAAAGGAAGTGTTCAAAGAGTGACGGGGAGTGCCGGAGGAGCCAGGGGTGCTTAAAGGGGCACCTACAGGTCCCCGGAGGAGCCGGGGGTGCTTAAGGGGGCACCTACAGGTCCCCGGAGGAGCCGGGGGTGCTTAAGGGGGCACCTACAG